CATTCACAATATGTTCTCTGATCACAATGGAATTAAGATACAATAACAACAACAACAAACCTAGAACTCCTCTGGAAATAAAAACACTCCTGAAATGTCTGATCAGTCATGAGAGCTATTAGGAAAAAAGCTGAACAGAATGAAAATAAAAAACAACATATATTAAAACATGTGGGATGCAGTTTAAAGATATGGCTACAGGGAGATTCATAAATGAATATAATACAGGTGAAAAAGTCTACAATGTATAATTTTGGTGTTGATCATAAGAAGTTAGAAGAACAGCAAATCATAAGAAGTTAGAAGAACAGCTCAAAGAAAGCAGAAAGCAGAAATAAAGGTAAGAAATGAGTGATTATGAGTAAATCAGAATAAAGACCAGTGAATCTAATAAAATTGATAAACTCCTGATCAAGACTATGCATGAATTAAATACAGGTAACTAAAGTAGCAAAGAAACATCACTAGATATCAAATGTATATTTAACACACAAACATTCTGAACAAATTCAAAGATTTATATAAAATAAAAGTACAACATTCAGAAAACAGTAGAAAGAGAAATGGAAAATTATAAAAATACTACAGTTATTATATTGCATATTATATAAGTTCAATCAGTAATGGAAAACTTCCTAGAAAAAAAACCCAGGCTTAGGCTATTTAACCAAACACTTAAGAAAGAACACCAACTGGGCCTCCCTGATGGTGCAATGGGTTAAGACACAACCTATGAAGCTATCCACAGCCACTGCAGCACCAGTTCAATCCCCAGCCAGGGAGCTGCCCACATGCCGCAGCAGACCTCTCCTGACTCACCCGCTGCTCCCCTCAGCAGTGTATTTCACTCATTCTGCCTGTTCCCCACTCTGCCTCTGGTGAATCCTCTTCCCCCACACACACACTTCTGGCCTGTATCCCAGTTCTTGTATGCATAAATAAATAAATCTTTTTTTAAAAAAAAAGAGAACACCAATCTTTACCCTTCCAAAGAACAGAAAATGAGGAACTATTTCCCTATAAATTTTATGAAACCACTATAATCTTTATATCAAAACTTAGCAGGATATTGAAGAACTATTAGCCAATCTTACTCAAACACACATGAAAAAAATCCTAAGTAAAAAATATTAACAAATTGAATAAGGAATATATGAAATAATATATTACAATCACATATTACAACCTACTTGGATTTATTTCAGGAATATGTCACATAACACACAAAAAATAATGTAATTACCAAATTAACAGGATAAAGGACAGAAACTATAGATTCATTAATAGGAAAAAAAATTATAAACTTCAACATATATTATTATTTAAAAATAAACTCTTCTAGCAAACCAGAAATAGAAGACTTCCTTAATCTACTAAAAAAGTATATAAAAAGTAAGGAGAACATCACTGCAAATTATTATAACTAGAAGCTATAAATTATTAAAAGCTAAAAAATTATGAAATTAGAGAAGGATGCCTATTACTACCATTTTCAGTTAGCACTTCAAGGGTAGTCTCAGCAAAAGTAATAAAGCAAGAAATTAAGAAGAGTAAAAGGTGTTATTTTTGCAAATGATACAATCATACAAACTGAAACAAAAACGCATTAGGATTAAAAAGAGTTTAGCAAAGTGGTGGAATATGTACTTAGCAAAGGCATTTAGCAAGAATTCACCAAGGTGAATTTACAAGTAGGTAAAATTCAACTGTACTCCACAAATCAGCAATAACTATTAAGATTATTTTGAAAAAGACTACTTAAACTCATCAAGAGAAATTATGACAGGCACAATGAAAGCATACTCTACACTGCTAGAAGACCCAGTGTTCTTGCAAACATGTCAGTTCTTTACAGAGCTATCTATAGATTCTATATATTCCCATCAAAATGGCTACATTTTGTGACAGGAAGAAATTTGAAAAAACGATCCTAACAATTTTAAGATAAAGAAATACGGAATCTAAAACTCAACAATTTCAGAATCTAAAGGGAAGATCCCTTTACTGGATCTCCAGATAGTTTATAAAACTACCATAACAAAAGACACCAATTTATTGCCACAGAGACTAGAGGAAAAGAAGAGAAACTCCAGGGCCTCCCCTGGTGGCGCAGCGGTTGAGCATTGGGCTGCAAAGCTGTCTGCAGCCTCTGCAGTGCCAGTTCGACCCCCAGCCACCGGGCAAGGGTCCCACATGGTGCTCAGACCTCTCATGATGCGCCTCTGCTCCCCTCAGCAGTGTATTTTGTCAGTCTGCCTGTTCTGTTACCCACTCTGGCTCTGGTGAATTCTCTCACCCTCTCGTGCTTCTGACTGTACCCAGTGTTTATATAAATAAATAAATAAATCTTATGTGGTACATATACACCATGGAATATTACTCAGCATTCAAAAAAGATAAACACATGCAATTTCCAGCAACATGGATGGCGCTGGAAGGGATCATGCTCAGTGAAATAAGCCAGAAAGAAAAAGAAAAATACCGGATGGTCTCACTCATAGCAGGAATCTAGAAAACTTAAATAATGGACCAGGAAAATGAATAACTAAGAAAGTAAAAATCAAAATCAACAAAAAACTATGAACCAGAGACACTTTTTGGCAGGTGGGGGGTGGGAGGGGAGGGATTGGGGTCAGAATGGGGGAGTAGCAATTGTATGGGGAATATAAAAATAAAATTTATTATTAAAAAAAAATAGTGATACTTTTTAATAAAAAAGATAATAGGGCCTCCCCGGTGGCGCAGCGGTTGAGCGCTGGGTTGCAAAGCTGCCCGCGGCCTCTGCGGCGCCGGTTCGATCCCCGGCTGCTCCCCGGCCACCAGAGGAGGGTCCCACATGGCGCGCAGACCTCTCCTGCCGCCCGCTGCTCCCCTCAGCAGTGTACTTCGGTCCTTCTGCCTGCTCTGCTCCCCGCTCTGGTTCTGGTGAATTCTCTCACCCTCCCGCGCTTCTGACTGTACCCAGTGCATGTGTAAACAAAACAAACAAACAAATAAATAAAAACATGCCTCTGTTTAAAAAACAAAAAAAAATTAAAAAACAAAAAAAAAAAAAGATAATACTTTAAAATAAATAAATAAATAAATAAATCTTTAAAAAAAAAAAAAAAACCAAGAAACTCCAGGAACAGATTTTTATATACAGGGACAACTTATAACAAAAAGGATACTAAAAATAGTAATGAAAGGATAGTCTTTTCAATGTGGTTTGCGATCAATTTAATATATATAGGAAAATTTATGAAAATTGCCTCCTGAAGTACACAAACACCATTCCAGAAAGATTAGTTCTAAATGTTGCACATAAAAAATAGGTGTTTTTAGATAATAACATAGGAGAATACATTCATAACCACGAGGTAGGAAAAGTTCTTAAAGAGGTTCACAAAAGTAGTATAATAACAGATCAATAAATCCTATTATAATTTTCTGTTCATCAAAAGATGATTAGCAAGTTGAAATAGGAATCAACACCATGGGAAAAGGTATTTGTGTGTGTGTGTGCGTGTGCATGTTATATATTCATATTCATATATTCCAACAAATATGCATGTCAACAAACCACATATGTTTAAAACATATGAAGATCTCCTTTAAAATTACACACGCACACACACGCACCCTCCCTCCCTCCCCCACTCCTCCTCACATGTGCTATATGGCTGAGTTACTGGCTACCCCTATACAATAGACAAGAGACTATTTAATTCAAAAGCAAAAAAGAAATAAAATACACATGCTATTCATACAGTCAATCAAACCACTACATTTTCTTAGTTGTTTACTGAAAGTACCCCTTTCCTAAGTTTACCTCTCTCCCATCTATCAACTTTTAGCCAAAAACTTTGAAATAACATGAATTTTGTTTTACTTTGTTGGAAATCTTACTTTTTAAAAAATCTGTATGTAGGTATCTTATAAGATGGAGATAGTTATACAGTATTGCCACAATATTGTGAGTATGGCCTCTATGCTGAAGGCTACATTTCTCTAGCTGCATCAAGATTCTGTATTTTAGGGACTCCCCGGTTGCGCAAAGGGTTAAAATGCAACCTATGAAGCTATCCGCAGCCACTGCAGCACGAGTTCGATCCCCGCCAGGGAGCTACACACATGGCGCAGCAGACCTCTCCTGTCTTGCCCTCTGCTCCCCTCAGCAGTGTATGTCACTTAGTCTGCCTGTTCTGCTCCCCGCTCTGTCTCTGGTGAATCCTCTCAACCCCCACACCTCTGGCCTGTACCCCAGTTCTTGCATGAATAATTTTTTTTTTAAATTTTTAAAAAGATTCTGTATTTTAGAAAAACACTATTGCAAAAAAAATCTGAATTTTAATAGAATCTCCAAACTTTTATAGCCAATATTGAGTATTTAAGGAAAAAATTATAAGTTTAATACTTAATAGCCTTCATATTATGAAAGTATTTCTGAGATATTTATATCTCAAAACGGGAGGTGGGGGGATTTCCACCTGGAAGATAACTATTATAGTCAGATAAAACTAGTGTTCTTAATTAAAATACTGCTTGCAAAATTTCCACAAATGTGTAGTGAATCAAACTAATCATTTCATTCATGAAAAAACGTATACAGTGTTTGGGTTTCAAGTAATAGGCACAAATTCAAACATTAACTATGTATCTTTGTGCTTAAGAACCAGACAATCTTGAGCCCATAGCTGACATTAATTAGCTGTATGACTTGGATAAATTATTCTGTGTATATCTGAATTTGCATCTGTCCAATGCCAGCAAATCTTCCCTCCTCTTAATTCCTAGCAAGATTAAAGGAGATAATGTAACTGAAGTTCCTAACATATTCCTTAGTAAAAAGAAAGTACTCATATGAAAAAAAGAATGATCCGCTATGATGGTTTATACTAGTGGCAGGAACTCCAAACCTATAAGTAGCTTTAAAAAATGGTCAGATACTTTTAAGAAACATGTGATACATTCGCTAAAAGTAATATCTGTCGAGTCTACTGCTTGTCATTAATAATTACCTGCAAGATTGTCAAGCATGAAGTTCAGTAGCTTTCGGGTTCCATCTGGGTCCTGGTATAAATTGAGAATATCCTGTGATAAAGGATTGCCTAAAGCAGAAAAGAAAAATAAAACCTGTAAGACTTAAGTGCAAAACAAAAAAAAATGTACACTATAAAGTAAAATACTAATTTGCTTAACTGAATTTTACTGTTAAATCTTTCTTAACAGAAATGTAAAGAAATTATATAAATTAAATTATTTTCTTTAAGATAATCAGAAAAACTTCAAAAGAGTTACTTCTTTGCAGATTTCATTGTTTATAATTTATACCTATAATTTGGGTTTAGAAAAAGCATATCTGCACATGAACACACAAAAAGTGATCTTAGTCAATTCTGAAGTAATATCACAATTTGGTAGCTTAAAGTAATCCTAGAGATTTTACATTCATCTTTAAATATAGTATTCTAACCAAAAGACAAGAAATTCTCTGTGAAATGTGATTAATATAAGAGGGGGATCTTCTTAGAGTGAATATTTCTATTACAAATGGAAGAAAGGAAGGTATTTCAAGTGAGGGGGAAAAAAAAAACCCTATTACCAAAATGAAGTAAATAAAAATTGAGAAGAAAATACGAACATTTTTGTGAGTTATCAGGAATAGCTCAGTACTAATAATATAGATTTATCAATGATAAACCAAACAAGCTATTGTTGACATAGATTCCTCTAAGAAATAAATAAAATACGCAGTAACAGCCTAGCAAACAAATTCGGAAAACAAACAAAAGCCAATGAAAATGAAATGAAGACTCTAAATATTAATGCAAAACAAACTCACATGCAACAAACTCAACCAAAATGGTTAAAATGAAAACATAATGACCAAATGAAGTGTTAGAAATACAGTAGATTAGCACCTAGAACTCTCATGTTTTGCTGGTAGAAGTATAAGATAATAGTAGTAAGACGAAAATCTGGCTGGCAGCTTCAACTGAGTTGAGAGTAAGAAAAGGAAACTTCCTGGGGTGATGACAGTGCTCCACATACTGAGTTAGGCAGTAGTTATACTGGTGTCTACTTTTGTCAAAATCATTTAAGCTGCATACGTAAGCATTTGGGTATTTTACTATATGTACGACTCAACAAAGTATTACAGAAAAATTACGTGTTCAGCGATATAGTCAGAGCTGAAAATAGTTAATAGAAAAAATACATTCAAAGAAATTACTCAAAAAGCATCACTAAGAGTCAGAAAGACATAAAATAGGTGATAATAAAAGATAAATGAGAGTGAGAACAAGAAATTTTGATAGACATTAAATTGAAATTCTGGAACGAGAACACGACTTTAGTTTCTGATTCAACATGAAAAAAATTTAGAAACTGCCACTCCTATTCTCACCAACTGAGTTCCATGTAAACTGCTGTCTGTCTGGTACATACAAACAAAATGGTGGATATGGAAAATCACAATCTAGTAGGAATAGAAGCCTTTAACTGGAATTAATATTATGAGGATTATTTTAAATTGTAACTAACAAAGTGTTGGAAGTTCAAAGATGACTATTTTGAGAGTTAAAAATCTTATGGATGCCAACACTTTCCAGAGTTTTATCTCTAGGAACTCAACCAGGTTCTTACCATACAGACTGAAGAAACTTCCCATTGTGCGCTGGCAGAAGGGAGCTAAAGTAACATTTATCTTTTATAAGAATTGACACAGAATAAACTATTTTAGCAGAGCATAACCAAGTGGGTTTTACCAAAGCTGAACTGACCTGGGGTAAGAGAAATACCCCACACTAGCCTGAGAGAAAGGGGGTGTGTATAGACATATACAATTCAGGTTTACTAAAAAACAAGAGAGCTAATCAGAGAATTACAGAACTCTTTCTCTCCCTTTCCACTTCTTCACATCAATCACATCAACAGAGCTCCTTTATAGATAATTACAACTTGAGAACTGAAAGCCTCAGACCAACTTAGAGTCTCTTGAAAAACCTAATGACAAAATAACAAATGAAAACAAGGACACAAAAGGAATTTTTAAACTCTAAGAACACAGCTTACTTAGCAAGAGAGAGAAAGAGAAAATAAGGTAGAAGAGGCAATATTTGCAAAGAAAAAGACTACATATTTTCAAAAGCAAATTTTTAAAATAACCAATACAGGAATTGTAATGCATGAAAAGAAGTTTATGAAAGGGTTTCATTTTGCTAAAATATACTGTGCTGCAAACCAGTTAATGCAAATGACAAATAGAAGACTTTAACATCAGATAGGAATAGGGACCAAGGGAAAAAGAATCAATTGTTTTCAAAGAAAAAACATGAAAAAATCCATCAACAATGAGAGCTAGAATACAGAATATCAGCTCTTAACAGTTGCAAGAATAGTATTTTAGACTTTAATAACTCAGCTACCAGTTACTGATATACAGAAGTCATTACAGATAGAGTAGACAGGAACACTTTCAACCATCCTGACCATATATATACACATATATATATATATATATATTTTTTTTTTTTTTACAATACCCTACTCAAAAACTGGAAAATACACATTGCTTTAAAGTGTACATAAACATTACCCAGGAGAGGATCATAAGCGAGGCCAGAAACAAACAGTAATCTATTTAAATGAACAAAATCATACAAAACTTACTATGTGACCTCAACAAAATAAAGCTAGAAATCACCAACAATTATCCAGAAAAATCCTAAGGGTTCTGAAATTAAACATCACTTCTAAATAATCTATGGATCAAAGAGGAAGAAGTCACAATTTTTAAGTGCTTTAAGTGAATTCATAACAAATCAGCAAAATTTGTAGGGTGCAGCTGAACCTGTGTCTAAAGATAAATTTATAGCATTCTGAAACACATTAGTAAGAAAAGATCTAAAATCAATGATCAATGGAAAAAAAGGATTGAGCTTCAAGGAAAGCAGAAGGAACTTATAAAGGACAGAAAGCATTAAAGTTTAAAACAAAATTTAAAACAAAAAAATAATAGATTTAACAAGCGCAAAAGATGTTTTGAGAAAAAGGCAATAGGCAGTAAAGTTAATAAACCTCTCTTTTATAAATTATTTATATACAATTATCAAGAATAAAAGAGGGAATTGCTTCACTTCCCAAGGACACAAATTATAAATATCAAGAGTAAAAGAGGAAACAACCTTGAGGCATTAAAAGAATAGGGAATATCAAGAATATTTTGTGTCTGTAAGTTCAATAATCCAGAAGAAATTAAACTCACACAAAGACAGAAATTACCACAGCTCAATCAAAATGAAATGGAAAAATTTTGTCCCTCCACACAAGCACTAACAAAAGAACAAAATATCTTGGTAAAATTTTTCAGAATCAACTATTTCAGAACTCTGGAAATCAACCAACAATTGCAAAAAAACATAGGGGGTGTTTACTTAATAAAAAAAGCAGAATATGGGAAAGGTCAATGATTTGTGATGTTTTATTTTGTCATTCCTCAATGCCAGGGCAGCTTGGCAACCACTGGAACAATTAAAATTGAACTAGAATTCATTCAAAACCTCATTCCCTAAGACTGGGCAATATGTGGTTTGTGTCATGTTTCCTTGACTCTTGACTAGTTATAAAGACTTCTACCTAAAGCATAGAGGAAGAGGTTGGGGTAGCCATTGCCGGCAAATATTTTAACTTCATGGGTGAGAGAGGCCATGGAAGCAGCTGAGCACAAGAGACTGACTAAAAAGATTAAAAAGAAAACTTTGGGAATAAGACATCTACAGAGTTTTGGAAAGTTGTGACATTTTCCTGGGACTCTAGAAAGCCATATATATGTAGAAGGCTATGTACATGGCTTAGGAAAGATAGGAAATATAATCTAAGCTCTCACCTCTATCTGACCTCCAACTATGCACAAGTAAGAAGTAACGGCTAAGATAGAACTGTAAAATTCCTGGCTGAGTATTGAAGGTATGTCCCAAACACACAGTCACTTGGCCAAGAGTAGATTTACTCATTCCAGGCATTTAAGGAAATCTTTGTCCAAGCATTAGCGACCACTCATCTAAATAGACTTCATTGTTCATGCATGATAGAAAAGAATTGATTTTACAGAATTAGTTCTGAAAAATCACTAAAGCAATAAACACACACAACAGCAGCAATAAAAACAACCCTGAGAAAAGAGTCTGATTTCAGAGTTGCCACATTATTTTGAATGTCCAGTTCTTAACAAAAATTATAAGACATGCAAAGAAACCTGAAAGTATGTCCCTCATACAGAGGAAAAAGCAATCAGCAAAAACTGTTAAGGACAACAAAAACGATACCTAAAGATTTACTGGAAAAGACTTGTAAAATCCACTATTTTAATGGACAACTAATTTATAACAAAGAACCAAGCACACACAAAGAAGAAAGAAATCAATAGATGGCACTGGGAAAAAGGGACAACTGATATGCAAAAGAACAAAACTAACTACTATCTTACACCAAATATAGAAAGTAATTCAAAATGGATTAAGCACTTGACTATTAGTAAAAAATCATCAAGTACATAAAAGAAAACAGAGGCAGTTGAGTTCTTGGATATTAGTTTTAGTGTAGTTCTTTGTGAATTTGACTCTTAGAGCAAGGGAAACAAAAATACAACTAGTACAATTACAACAAATTAAAAAATTCCGCACAGCAAAAAAAAAAAAGCATAATACATTCAACAGATTAATATTCAAAATATAGAAAGAACTCATATAATTCAACAACAAAAACCAAACAACCTGATTAAAAAATGCATAGATTTGACTGACACCAAAAGACATACATAAGGCAAACTGGCACATGAGAAGATGTTAGTCATTAATTATTTCTAGGGAAAGGCAAATCAAAACCAAAACGAGGTATCAACTCATACTTCTCAAAATGGCTGTTATCGAAAAAGGACAATAAATAACAAATGTTGATGAGGATATGGAGAAAAAGAAACTCATATACCCTATTGGTGGGAATGTAAATTGGTAGAGTCATTAAAGAAACAGTATGGAGAGTTTTCAAAAAAATTAAGAACAGAAATAGCATGATAAAACCATTACACCACTGGGGTGTTTATCCAAAG